TCCCAGGTCTTCTGACTATAGGGTAGTGTTTCCTGTGTCACCTCCACCCCAGGCCATCCAGTTACCTTGGAAGCACCATGTTTTTATAGCTTACCACTCAACTGGCCTTGTGACTGAGCCAGGGGTGGGCACTGGATTCTAGCCAGGCCTGTCAGTCTTTCCCGGAGGTCTTTCAAGCTGAGACAAGAAAGACACAGGGACAGAAAGTAAAACTCTGAAGTGTTGGCAGACTTGATCTTCACCTTGAGGGAAGACATTGCCATGAGAGAGGAGGAGGATGGTGTGCAGAGAGGAGCAAGAAGTTCCCAGACAAAGAGAGCCCTCCTGGCATGACAGCCTGGCTGACGATCAGCTGCACCATGGCAGCTAATCACAAGCCTTTATTTGGAAACCACAAGACAATAAACGCCCCTTTATACCTGAGCTACTTTCAGTGGCAACCCAAAGACTCCTGCTCTCCTGGTCTTGCATTCTCCCCACTGTGCCATTCGCTTCCAAACATTTTTAAAGCCCAGGAACCCCTTGTTCAAAACAAGTTTTACCTGGAAGTCCAGATGACCGTATAGTATATTCTGTGTGATACAGTCACCTGGCCAACATGGCGAAACCCTGTCTCTACTAAATATACAAAAAATCTTCACTCCAACAATGCTGAGCCATGTGATCAAGGCCAAGACACGTCTCTCCCAGCCTCAGTTTCCCTCTTTGTAAATACAGAGTAGAGGTATCCAAGTGATATAGTTTGTATATTTGTCCCCACCCAAATCTCATGTTGAATTATAATCCCCAGTATTGGAGGTGGGGGCTGGTGGGAGGTGATTGGATCCTGTGGGTGGGATCTCTCACGAATGTTTTAGCACTATGCTCTTAGTGCTGTCCTTGTGACAGTGAGTGAGTTCTCATGAGAGCCAGCTGTTTAAAAGTATGTGGCACTGCTCCACTCTCTCTCTCTTGCTCCTGCTTTCCCCATGCAATGTACCTTCTCCCACTTTGCCTTCCGCCATAAGTGAAAACTCTCTGAGGTCTTCCCAGAAGTTGAGCAGATGCCAGCATCATGCTTGTACAGCCTGCAGAACCATAATCCAATTCAACTTCTTTATAAATTACTCAGTCTCAGATATTTCTTTTCTTTTTCTTTTCTTTTTTTTTTTTTTTTTGAGACAGAGTCTTTCTTGCTCTGTCCCCCAGGCTGGATTGCAGTGGTATGATCTTGGTTAACTGCAACCTCCACCTCGAGAGTTCAAGTGATTCTCCTGTCTCTGCCTCCTGTGCAGCTGGGATTACAGGCGTGTGACACCATGCTCAGCTAGTTTTTGTATTTTCAGTAGAGATGGGTTTTTGCCATGTTGGTGAGGCTGGTCTCCAACTCCTGACCTCGGGCGATCCACCCAGCTTGAACTCTCGAAGTACTGGAATTACAGGCATGAGCCACCACACCTGGCCTTGGGTATTTCTTTATAGCAATGCAAGAATGGCCTAATACACCAGCTCTTAGGGTTATTGTAGGGTTTAAATGAATTAATATACATGAATCACTTAACCTGGTGCCAGTGGTGTAACAACTACTCAAAAAACAGTGGCTCTTTTTTTCCAGGGTCTGTCTTTGTCGCTCAGGCTGGAGTGTAGTGGCATTACCGCAGCTCTCTACAAACTCCACCTCCTAGGTTCAAATGATTCTCCTACCTCAGCCTCCTGAGTATCTGGGATTACAGGCCACCATGCCCAGCTGATTATTCGTAGTTTTGGAAGAGACAGGGTTTTGCCGTGTTGGCCAGGCTGGTCTCGAACTCCTGGTCTCAAGTGATCTGCCTGCGTTGGCCTCCCAAAGTTCTAGGATTACAGGCATGAGCCACAGTGCCTGGCCAGCATTGGCTCTTAATATATGGAGGTAATAGATGGGGAAACGCAAGGCACTTGCTACCCTTAGCTTCCTTCTCATCTCTCCCTCATCAAACGTCTTTGGCACATGGATAATGTTTAAATTATTATTTTTTATTGTATTTGGGCTCTGGGGTACATGTGTACATCCTACAACCTACAGGATTATTGCATAGGTACAGACATGCCATGGTGGTTTGCTGTCTCCATCCCCCCTCAATTGTTTAAATTATTAGAGATGATTGATTTAATATACTTCTTCCTGGCTATACTGGGAACTCACAAGGACAAGGAGCATATTTGTCTTGGTCACTGTTTTCCCCAGGTCTGGCCTATTGAAGGTGCCCAGTAACTGATAATAGATATGTATCCTCTCATTAACAAATAGGTGCAACACAGGTTACCAAATCTGGTGCCTTTTGCAGCAGAATCAGAAAAATCGTAAGAGGAGAAAAAGACTTGACTTACAGGACAGCCTCTCAGAACTAAAGTTAATTCTTTTGGTTTGATCAGTTACGTTACTTAGGGTTTCCCAGGTTTTCCCCATTTTGAAACTAATTAATATAATAAAAGCCTACGATGTAACTTATGAGATACATTTAGAGCAATAATAAGAGAAAATTTCATAAACACTTAGATTAATAAAATGAAAACAAATGAGTTAAATTCCAAACTCATAAAGATAGAAAAAAAATTTCAACATAGCAAAGCAAAATAAAGCACAAGGACAGAAATAATAAAGATAAAATCAAAAAATAATGAAATAGGGAATAGGATTTATGGGATTAAAATCCTGGCTCTTTGAAAAGATTAACAAAATAGGCAAACCACAAACTAAGTCAAGGAAAAAGGGAGAAAACCCAAATATAAAATGAAGGAATTATAATGGGAAAATAACTGTCAAAAAGTAGAAAGTTTCAAAATTCATGAGACCACTTTGCAAATCTCCATGCAAATAAATCTGAAAATGTAAGTGAAATGGATAATTATCTGGAAAAAGACAGTTTGCCAAAATGACCCCATTAGGGCAGAACCACTTTTGGTAAAAGAAATAGAGAAAACTGTCAAGGAATTTCCCTACACAAGAAGCACCAGGCCTAAAGGATGCCACAGAAGACACAAATCTTCAAAGACTAGAGTTTCAAAGCTACATAAATTCTTTCAGTGCATGAAAAATAAGGTAAACTTCCAAATTATTTTTATAAACAAATATAACATTGATTCTTAAACAAATAATACACACAAATATTGGCACAAAAATCCTAAAGTAAATGTTAGCATACAGAATCAACATCTGCTGTGGTTTGAATGCTCCTCCCACAAAGCATGTGTTGTAATCCAAACTGCAACACTGTTGAGAGATGGAGCCCGATGAGAGGGGGTTAGGCTATGAGGATTCTGTCCTCACGCATAGATTAATGCTGTTATCTTGGGAGTGGTTTCATTATGAAAGGCTAAGTTTGGCCTCCTTTTCTCTCTCTTCCTTTCTCTTTCTCATTTCCTTCCGGTTTCTGCCAAAGGATGATGCAGCAGGAAGGCCCCGCCCAAATGCCAGCCCCTGGATCTTGGACTTCCCAGCCTCCAGATTATAAGAAATAAATTTATTTTCTTTATAAATTAGCAATCTCTGGTAGTGTGAAATAAACTTATTTATTGTGATTTATTTAAATGCTCTAAGAAGAATCATTTGGTAATCTCCACTAATGCTGAAAAAAGCCTTTGGTAAAAATCAACATTTAGTTTTAATTAAAAAAAATTCATGAAAATAGAAATTGATGGATATAACATGATGAAATACATAAACCTTAGTTCTAAAACCAGCATCTGTTAAATGAAGAATCACTAGAGGCATTTACATTAAGATCAGGAACATGGCAAGGACCCCATATCTCTACTACTGTTTATTATTTTATTGGAGGTATAAGCCAATGCAATTAGACAAAAGAAATAAATTAGAGGCATAAGAACTGGAAAGCATAAAGTAAAACTGTGTCTATTTGCAGATGATGTAATAGAATACCTAAAAAAAATCTGGGAGATTGAATTAACTCAAACAATAAAATAATTATGCAATTAGCAGGATATAAAATTTACACAGAGAAACCAACTGGGTTCATATATGCAAAAATAAATCAAAAGTTATAATAGTAGATAAATCTCCATATAGTAATAAGGAAGATCGAATAGTTAGAATTAAACTTAATAAGACATATACAAAACCTATATGAAGAACACTTTTTAATGTGCCTGAAAGATATAAAAGTAGGCATGAAGAAATGGAAAGATACCTCTTGTTCTTGGATAGGAAAACTCAATATCACAAAGTCGTAAATTCTCCTAAAATTTATTTATAAATAATGCAATAAAAATACCAGCAAACTCTTTATGGAGTCAGACAAATTGATATAAAAATTCATGTAGAAAAATAAACATGAAGAATAGCTAGACTACCCGATATTCTTTAGAAAAAGAAAAGCCATAAGGGGTGTCTACTAACCACATATTAAATCATTCTATAAAATCTCTGTAATTAAAACTATGAATTATTGGCACATGAATAAACAGAAAGACTAGTGAAAGAGAACAGAAATCTAGAAATAGACTTAAGTCCACATGGAAATTCAGTATATGACAAAGGTGTCATCTGAAGTCACTGGAGCATAGATGGGCTCTCTAATGAAATGGTGCTGGTCAACTGGGTGGCCATTTGGAAAAAAGATAAGATTAGATCCTTTTCTCATGTCATCCATGCAAATAAACTCCAAATTTAAAATAAGAAAAAGAAGAATGACAATAGAAGAAAATGTTAGAGAATTCCTCTATAAACTCGGTATACAGAGAGGGCACCAAAAACACAAAGGACTGATAGATTATACTATGTAAAAATTTAAAAATATTTGCATAGTAAAAATAATTGATAATTCATTTAAAAAATATATATGTCTAAGAGGCTTACTATATCTTTCACCCAAAAAGTATTAGCTTAGATCTACCACCAAAGTGATGTCATCCTGTCTAAACAAGCCACTTACTTCTCAAGTTTCATTTGAAAGAATCACCACAAGGACCTTGGAGAGGGGAGGGAAAGCCTAGTCTCATTTTAGCACTGGCTCCAGCTTTACCTTCTTCAGTTTCTTGTGGGCTCCACTGTGGTTCCCCTCGGCCAGGTCTGCTCCTCCCAGGAGTCGGTATGCCTCTGCCACCTCGGGACTGAAATCGCCAAATATTCCCACTTTGGCTTCCAGGGACTCTCTCAAGATGGAGGTTGCTCTCTATGAAAGGAATAAAAAGGGCTGTTTCATTAACAAGCTCAAAGGCTGATTAGGATCAGTACCACTTAAGAAAATTACATAACTCGTGTATTTTCACTTTTTAGAGGAATGAGTGTGGTAGTCTCATGAGCTGAGCCTGTTTTCCTCTTGTATTAGTCCATTCTCATGTTGCTCTGAAGAGATACCCAAGACTGGGTAATTTATAAAGCCAAGAAGTTTAATTGACTCACAGTTCCACATGTGTAGGGAAGCCTCAAAAAACCTACGATCATGGCAGAAGGCACCTCTTCACAGGGCAGCAGGAGAGAGAAGTGCTGAGCAAAGAGGGAAAAGCTCCTTGAAAACCATCAGATCTTGTGGGAATTCACTCACTATCACAAGAATGGGATGGGAGTGACAGCCTCCATGGTTCAATCACCTCACACAGTGTCCCTATCACGACACATGAGGATTATAGGAACTACAATCCAAGATGAGATTTGGGCGGGGACACAGCAAGCCATATCACCTCTGGTTGAACAGGAGTCGGGAAACCACACGTGTGTGAGGAAAGGTGTAAACTATGAAAAGTGACTGCATACATTACAGGAATCCATTTCAGTTGAGTAGTAAGAACAAAGGCTGACATGGATCAGTCCTTACGTGTTAGAAATAGTGCTGAACACACACAATTGTGTGTGATCTCATTTAATATTTGCTGTCTTCTTTAGATGGGTAAAATTTTAATCCTCATTAATGCAGAGGAGGAAACAGGCACAGAGCAGTTAAAAAACTTGCTTAGAGTCAGACAGCTCATGATGGTGCTAGGATCTGAATCCAGCCAGTAATTTTCATACATTTTTTAAAAAATCTGTCTCAGCAGATCTTCCATTTTACAACAGCAGGTGGAAATCTGAAAATCTGGAGTCTTTGTTTTGTTTTTTTTAGATGGAGTCTCTCTGTCTCCCAGACTGGAATGCAGTGGCACAATCTCAGCTCCCTGCAACCTTCACCTCTTGGGTTCAGGTGATTCTCCTGCCTCAGCCTCCAATGTAGCTGGGATTACAGGCACCTGCCACCTCACCCGGCTATTTTTTGTATTTTTTAGTAGACAAGGTTTCAACATGTTGGCCAAACTGGTGTTGAACTCTTGACCTCAAGTGATCCACCTGCCTCGGCTTCCCAAAATGCTGGGATTATAGGCATGAGCTGCAGTGCCTGGCCTAATTTTCATACTTTTCAGTCCCATGCTTTTCTTTCTCTGTCCATAATGCCATTCTTACAGAAGTGAAAATATAGCATGCCTGAGCGATTTATCTATGGATAGAAAGTCCTGAACACACTCCAGGCTTTCCTAGTCGGACAGCAAATTATTTAGGAAACTGAAAGTAAACATTCCAACATCACATGACATTTTGCTTGGGTTATCCAATTTATTTACAAAATGGAATAAAAAATATGAATTGGTCAGAACACAGCATGTCCTGATGTTAGCTTCTTCAAACACCAAGATATATGGGGAGAAACCCTATTAAAGTATGTCAATGCCCCACACTTTCTCCAGAAATTCATCTACTATCTTCTACATGAAGGCACGACACAGCTGCAGAGCATGGATGCTGAACTGCACTGCCAAATACAGCAGGGACCCTGGGGGCTTCCTCATACACAGCCCCAAAGGTGTCCAGAAAGCGCTCCACAAGCAGAAGGGCAAGGAAGGCCTTTAATCCTTTTGTTGGCAATAATACAAGTTAGGGGCTAGGGCTGCAGTAGGGGAACCACATTAAAGGTGCTGATGAGGCAGAAATCAATTTCTCAAGTGACAGAATAAAACCTGTAGAGTCAGAGTGATTGTGTAACTCACCAGTAGGGCCCCACTGAGGTACATGAGGGACTGGAATTTAAATCTAGACTTGCCTGAGGGTAAAGCCCATCACATCTCCCAACTTCTGAGAGCAAGGACTTAGACTGATGAGAGTGTTGGGTTTGCTAATGTTCTGGTGGGAACTGACTGTCAGACTTAGGGGAGCCTGTGATGGGAAGAAGACCCGCAGAGACTCTTCCCCAAACGCCACTTTGGATGCTGTCTACAGCCTGACTGGGGAAACTAGGGGTAGATGTGCAGGAAGTTAAATAGCATGGGTTTCTAGGAAACTGAGATGGCGTCAACCTCTGATAGGAAAAGCTTAATGGAGCGGAGTGAAGAGTAAAGAGGACTTAGGTAGGATGATAAGAGGGTGTGGGCACCTGGGAGCACAGGAGAAGCACATGGCTTTGAGGGCCAGTGAGTGGCCAGGTTGAGGAAGTCAGAGAAGATTCTTGAGCAAGAGAGTGGCACGACTATAAGACAAACCCTTAAGAGCAGCTTAACCTGTGGCAGAGTGACCTGCACTTACATTTTACCTTAAAAGCATTTCCTCCCAAAGATCATGTTCCACAGTGCCCATGTGTACACTATGGGCACATCTGGGATGGCCTAAGCGCAGCGCCATTCTTGGCTCTGGGACTGTCCTTGCGCCTTGCCCTTGTTGGCCAACACCTGCTAGAACCCACAGTGAGAGGCTTGCAACAAAATGGTGAGAACAGCACAAGCCTGCCATGTTTGGCTGGGCGGGTGGTGCCACACACAAGGGTGCCTGGCAGGAGCATGGGGAGGGCTGAAATCCAGCCTATGGTCCCCTCCAACATGGGCAGTATCTACCTGAGGAAGGGGCAGCTTTTTCTACTCTCATAAGGGCACTGGATGAGATGGCAGTGGCCCTAGAATGAAAAGAGCCAGTTTGTTAAGATCTTCCAGGGCAGCTTAGGACAGTGAGGTGCATCTTTTGATCAACACTGATCTGAGTGACTTGGGCAAAGGCAGTGAAGCATAGCATCATGACACTGGGCATCAGCTGACTCAGCAAGACACTATGGTGAGAAGCCAGACAGTACAGGGGAACTGATGCACGGCCCATGGGAATCAGAACAGTCAGCTGGCCTGTGGTGAAACATGCATCCACCTCTCTGCTCATCACCCTCAGCACAGGCAAGGGAGTCTCTGCTCTCACAGGTTCAGTCTAGTTGCAAGACAGATGCTAAATATCCACACGAATATATACTTACACATATTTGATGACATAAAATAGATTCCATAAGCAAGAATAATGGGGAGTAGCTAATGAAGACTGGGGAGAGGAATACTGGTAAGAAATGAAGGATGGGTTGGCATTGGTCTAGAAATGAATGAGGAAGGGACTTCCAGAAGGAGGAAACCGAAGCTGGCACTGCCCAGAAGTGGGAATTGAAAAGGCCAGTGTGGCAGGAACATGGATCAGGGAGAGGGGGCAAAAATGAGCCTGGAAATGTCACTGGAGTCCAGGTTGTGGAAGGTACTGTGGGCCATGTCAGGATTCTGGTTTATCCTGAGGGCATCAGGGAGCCAGTGGTCAGATCTGCTTTTTTGGAAACATCAGCACGACTTCCTTATTACGAGTGGATCAGAAGAGGGCAAGCATGGAAAAAGCAACTGCGAGACAGGAACCTGTTAGAGTGGTCCAGACAAGAGATGGTGAGTGGTGGGACTAAAGATGGAAAACAATGCATGCAGCCAAGACATATTTTGGAGGAAAAAATGACTGAGGAACTGTATGGGGTGGGGCATAAGGGGGCAGACTTACCCATTCTTCTGACCTGGGCTCTCCCCATAAGACTTCTAGAGATGTGACGGGGGACAGGGAGGGAATCTGAGGCCCCTGGAAGGCCCCTCTCTCTCCCTGGGGTTGGGTGACCCAGAAAAATCCTGAAACTCCCATTTGTCATGGTGATTGCAGCCCTACTTCGGCCTGAGAAACATGGGTATATCTATATAAAAGCCTGTGCTCTGTAACTGAGAGAAGAGGAGGCAGAGGGGGGATTAAGGATAAGGAAAGAGCTGTGGTGGGGGAGGAGGTCAACAGGTAGCAAGGGAAAATCTCATTTCTGAGATTTTCTATGATAGGACAGAGTTGAAAAAAACCACAGTCAGCCCTCCATATCCATAGATAAAAAATATGAGGAAAAAAACAATAAAAATAACAATACAACAATTAAAACAATACAAATAATAAACATAGTGTAACAATTATTACCATAGCATTTACATTGTATTAGGCATTATAAGTAATCTAGAGATGATATAAAGTATTCAGGAAGATGTATCTAGGTTATATGCAAATGTGACACCATTTTATACAAGGGCTTCAGCATCCTTGGATTGCCGTATTCATGGGGGTTCTGGAACCAATCCTCCACAGATACTGAGGAACAACTATATGTATGTTTCTGTGCATATATGTACTGTGTATACATGTATGTATGTGTGGCTTTCTAGGAAACTGAGATGGTATTAACCTCTGATAAGAAAAGCTTAATGGAGGTCGGGCATGGTGGCTTACGTCTGTAATCCCAGCATTTTGGGAGGCCGAGGAGGATGCACCATGAGATCAGGAGTTCAAGACAGGCCTGGTGGAGATGGTGAAACCCCATCTCTACTAAAAATACAAAAAAAAAATAGCTGGGCATGGTAGCAGTGGCTGTAATCTCAGCTACTCAGGAGGCTGAAGCAGAGAAATGCTTGAACCCAGGAGGCAGAGGTTGCAGTGAGCTGAGACTGTACCACTGCATTCCAGCCTAGTCAAAAGAGCAAGACTCCATCTCAAAAAAAAAAAAAAAAAAAAAAAAGAAAAAGAAAAAGAAAAAAGAAAAGCTTAATGGAGAGGAGTTAAGAGTAAACAAGACATAGATGGGCTGAGAAGAGGGTGTGGGCATACGTACATAAATGTATACACACATACATATGTACACAATACATATATATATATACATATATATATATATATATATATATATACACACATATATGCACACATATATAGTTGTTCCTCAGTATCTGTGGGCGACTGCATATATGTATGTATTAATATGTACACACACACACACACACATACACACACACACACACACACACACAAATAAAGCCACAGTATGTTAGGCTTTGCAAGGAATATGTTCCCAAGGGTTTAATTACCAATGAAAATAAAGTCTGATCTCGTTCTATTTTTTACAAGCCATGTAAATTACACTTGTATGAATCAATACTGAAAGATGGAGCTGTAACTTCTGCACTACGTAGTTTTCCTTAGATAATGCAAATTCCATTCATTACCCAAACTGAGGAGAGAAGGATCAGACACACTAACTGCCACATGATTCCAGCCACATCTGCAGGACTTCAATAAGCAGGCTTCTCAAGGTTTCTATTCCTTAGGATCTTTTGTAGGTGGGCATGACAATCTATATTTTCATAAAGTTTCCAACTTCTAAGAGCAAGAATCTCTGAAAGCTGACCGAAAGGAGCCCCTAGCCTTATTTATGTGTTCCTGTAGAGCAGGCATCCCCAAACTACGGCCCCCTGAGTCCATTTATCTGGCCCCCCGCCGCACTTCAGAAAGGGGCACCTCTTTCATTGGTGGTCAGTGAGAGGAGCACAGTATGTGGTGGCCCTCCAATGGTCTGAGGGACAGTGAACTGGCCCCCTGTGTAAAAAGTTTGGGGATGCCTGCTGTAGAGACTGGTACATGCTTTGCACACAGTAGGTGCTTAACGGATGCTTGCAGAGTGTAGGAGCAGCCCTTTGGATATCACCTGTGAATAATGAGACAATTGTGATCCAAACTCACTTACCTTTTTTTGCCCAGTCATTTGTAGAAAATGGCAAAATTCATCTTGAATTGAAAGCAATTTGGTTCTTCCAATCCCTTCAGAATCCTTTAGATGAGCCATGCTCTCTTGAAAATACTGCTCAGCTACATCTGAAGAAAAGCATTTATTATAACTTTGAAAATTGCTTACAGATTTGAAATGGAAACAGAATAAATATACTGTTGGCAGTGTTGAGCTATTTAAAAAGAGGTATTGGGACAAGAAAAAACAGTTAAGACTGTCCTTTGCCCATTAAACTGCCTGTTTCGTTAGAATTTAAGTCTCAAAGGATACTGTAATTTACTTTCCTTAATTTTCATATATCTAGCTTTCCTGGTGATACATAAAGAAAAGTTACTGCAAAAGAAGAAACTATGACCCAGACCTGAACACACTGGTAAGTTTTCAGGTTGATCAACCATTAATTCTTCCTATAACTTCAGTAACTCCTCACTGAGGGTAGGACTCTAAGAGTTCACTTATTTTGATGGATTCAAAGTATAAGCTTGTAACATATTTCTTAAACGTGGAAAATATTGTTGACATGCTGCTGAGAGAACAAATCATTCAAAACCCCAATCATTCCAAATCCTTCAACATACTGGTTACAATATAACACAATTTTGTAAAATGCATGCCAATCTTCAACGCAAGAAAAAGAAAACCTCAGGTATGGAAAATGATGGGAGAACTCAAAGCCAGAGAAGTGAGTGGGAGCTGAGGTTGAATGGCCCATGAGCATATTAGAAAAAAGGTCTATCTTCCTTCCTCCCCATCACCTATATCTGGCATTTCAAATCACACTGCCACATGTGTACCTATGCAACAATCTTGCATGTTCTTCATATGTACCCCAAAAACTAAAATGCAATAAAAAATATTTTTTATAAATTTGAAATGAAAAAAGGTCCGTCTTCCAGTGATGGGGCTTTCCAGGCCTGAGTTGGACTAGGGATGAAGCCTGAGGCCCATTTGTGGTGGAACGCTGAACGCAACTCCCTGCAAAAAGCTGGTGTGGCTGGCAGAATTCTAAGATGACCCGTGACCCTTGCATTTCTGTAGCACCTTCCCTGTGGTTACGGGTGGAACTTGTGAGTATGAAGATATAGTTCTACTGTGATTAGCTGACGTTATAGGGCACAACTAACTTTAAGAAAGCGAGATTATGGCTGGGCGTGGTGGCTCACACCTGTAATCCCAGCACTTTGGGAGGCCATGCAGGGAGGATCGCTTGAGCCTGGAAGTTCAAGACCAGCCTGGGCAACATGGCAAACCAAAAAATAGAAAAAAAAAAAAAAAAAAAACAAAAAAAATTAGCCAGATGTGGTGGTATGCACTTGTCATCTCAGCTACTTAGGAGGCTGAAGTGGGAGGATTGTTTGAGCCCAGGAGGTTGAGCCTTCAGTGGGCCTCCACCACCACTGTACTCCAGCCTGGGTGGCAGAGCAAGATCCTGTCTCAAAACAAAAGAAGAAGAAAAAAGAAAGCGAGATTATCCACTGGGCCAGACTTAATCACAGGAGCCCTTTTAAAGCAGAGTGTTTTCTCTGGCTGGTAGCAGAAAAGGAAGTCACATTTAGGGAAAGCATGACAGAGATGTGATGAGAAGAATTCTGCCTGCTGCTGAGATGGAGAGGGATGTGGTGGAAGGACCTAAGCAAGAGCAGCCTGTGGGAGCTGAGAGGGGTCGCTGGCCATCAGCTCTCCAGAAAACAGGGACTGCAGTCCTGTGGCTGCAAGGAACTGAACTGTGCTCGTAACAGGAATAAGGTTCAGAAAGGACCCCAACCTCCAGTTGAGTGGAGCTGGCCAACATGATTTCAGCATGAGCAGAGAAGCATGCCTAACCACACCAGACTTCTAACTTACAGAACTGTGAGGTAATAAATGGGTGAGTAAGCAAATTTGTTATGTAGGAAATAAAATGAATATAGCCAGTGCTATGGTCTTAATGTTTATGCCCCTCTCAAATTCACAGGTTGAAATCCTAACCCCCACAGTGATGATATTCAGACGTAGGGCCTTTCAGAGGCAATTAAGTCATGAGGATGGAGCCTTCATGAATGGGATTAGTGTCCTTATAAAAGACACATCAGAGAGCTTCCTCACCCCTTCCACCCTGTGAGGACACAATGAAAAGACAGCTATCTATGAACCAGGAAGCAGGTCACCAGACACCAAATCTACCAGAGTCTTGATCTAGACTTTCTAGACTTCAGAACTGTGAGAAATAAATGTCTTGTTGTTTATAAGCCATTTAGTCTATGGTGTTTTGTTATAGCTTCCCAAACAGACTAAGACAGCCAGGAATCTTTAAAGTAAAGACAAGAACAATTGCATTGGTTCCAGGTGTGGCCTTAAGGGTGTCCATCCAGAGGCTGTGACCAGAGAGAATACCTGAAATCAGCATTTGTGCAGTCTGAATGTGTGCCACCTACTTGGTCTGGAAATCCTGAACCACGAAACTAGCACAGAAACTATTCTGAAACTGGGAAAATCACAAGGCTCTATCACAGGGGTTGGCAAACTTATTCTGTAAAGGACAGGATGGTAAATATTTTAGGCTTTGCAGGCCATATGATCCCCATTGTTGCTATTCAACTCTGCTGTTGTAGAGTGAAAGCAGCCACAGACAATACATAAATGAATGAGCATGGCCATGTTCCAATAAAACTTTATTTACAAAAACAGGTGGTGAGTAAATTGGGCCCATGTGCATAAGTTTGCAACCCCCAGCCTACTAGAGGAAAATGTGATGGCTTCCTCCCCCAGGAGATATGGGACTTCCACTGAAGCACCTGTTGGAGATAGCTTCATGGTGACACATGACAAGCACATGAAGTCTGTTGGGGAAGATTATAACCCACATATACAGTGGTCTACTTGACATTTCCACTTGGAAATATCATATTATGGAACACTGTATGGAACAGTATCTTTTGCTTTTAGAAATTTCCTCAACATTTGGTTATTCCCTTCTATCACTTCTAGTTTTGTATTTGTACTTTTCCCATTTCTTGATTAGGCCAGCTAGTGTTTTATCTGTTTCATTATCTTTTCCAATGAATCAATTTGGATTTAGTTTTCTCCTTCTGTGATGTTAATGCCAGGTGCTTCCACAGTGGTCTCCATGATCTTCAGGTACAGCTCTCCAGAACACAGGCAGAGCAAAAATCCAATCAGCCCGTGTAAATTGTGTTGCTTCTTGGAGGCAGCAGGGTGAGTGGCAAAGAGAGCAGGCTCTGGGCTTGCACTATCTGAGCCCCTTAGAGCTGTGTGCCTTGCTGTGTCTCTTAATTTCCCCATCTGGAAAAGGGGACCGTTATACTAGTAACTTCTTTGTAAGGAGCTGCAAGCAGTAAACAGATTAATGCATACAAACAATTGATAACAGGCCTGACATAAATAGTTGTTGCTCAATGTTGATGATTTTAATTTTAGGAACAGTTTTGATAATTGTGGCTATGGGTGCCCATACTGGGCTGAAATAGCAGGCACACTGGAAGCAGCAAGTGGCACAAATGGACATTGAGAGGACAGAAACATGAAAACGCACAGAGCAATCAAAAGACACAGAAGTCTAGCATCCTTTGCAGATAAACAGCCCGGAACACCTCAAGAGCTCTGAGAACATGCCTGAAATTCACAATGAGAATCCTGGCTCTTAAGAAATGATCTAATTAGGGCTGGGCATGGTGGCTCATGCCTGTAATCCCAGCACTTTGGGAGGCAGAGGTGGGTGGATCACGAGGTCAAGAGATCGACACCATCCTGGTCAACATGGTGAAACCCCGTCTCTACTAAAAATACAAAAAATCAGCTGGGCATGGTGGTGCATGCCTGTAATCCCAGCTACTCAGGAGGCTGAGGCAGGAGAATTGCCTGAACCCAGGAGGCGGAGGTTGCGGTGAGCCAAGATCGTGCCGTCGCACTCTAGCCTGGGTAACAAGAGCGAAACTCCATCTCAAAAAAAAAAAAAAAAAAAAAAAAAAAAAAAAAAAAAGAAATGATCTAATTAAATTCTGTGGGATCTGTGTTAGAAAGGAGAGATGTAAACACTTGGGAAATATGGCTACCAAATCTAGTCAACTGAAAGAAAGCTTAGGTCTGAAACAAGTTGTGTTCATCTGCAAGATTCACTCCATGTAGATTGAGGCAGTTGCCAGACAGGAGCAGGAATTGCACTCGGTCCCAGCTGGCCCTGGGGTCTGCAATTAGGCAGAAATCAACTGAACTGGATCCCTGTACCCCTCTCTTTCAGTGGGGCCTGTCCCCTGACAGACCAGCAGATGCATTTCTGGAGCACTGCTCAAAAGTTTTTGTCTTGGTGGGAGAAAATCTACCACATGGAAAATGTTACCTCTCCCTCATAGCTGACCCATGCAAGAAAATGTTACAGATTTAATGTGCAAACTGAGTATTAACTTCGGCTCCTTTGATAATCTAATGACAGCAAACGTTGAGGATGAAGTGACATTAATTCTGTTGATTATAAAAGCATTATAGACATTAATGTCTAAAATGAATAAAGATATTCAGGAGTGGAGTACTCTTTTGATATTTTAATTTTCTCACTAATTGGGAGTAAACTAAAGAATGTAGCCAAGTATTCCTTTGAAAAGTAAAGATCTTTCTGCATCTCAGCCTTGTCCCCTAAAGACGGGCCCTTATTGTGTTTACTGTGAAGACCTGCAGATGTAAACGGCATGAGGCAACTCGGGAACTGAGTTTCAGAGCTTGGGGTTTGGCTAGAGCAGCACTGTCATGCTTAGGGAAAGGCAGCGGCCAAAAGGGCTAAGAGGCATTTCCTTGACCTCTCCTGGGGTAGGAGCCAGTCTCCCTGGCACAGGTGAACACAGCCGCACCTCACATCTTTCTAGCCCTTTTCTTTTTAATGTTCTCCCACCTCCCAGTATTGCTTCTTCTAACTAACTGCCCCCAGAAGCACTCCATTTGGGCTGGTCCTCTCAACCTGAGAATGGCATGTTTCTTTCCCTCAGTGCAGCTCAGCTCACAAAGAAGCTTCGAGGGAGGACGCTGTGGTCCAATTCCAACTAACGTGCAAATGGCTCATAACCTCAGACCTAGGCTAGTCATATTTTCCAAAGAC